GTGGCAATAGATTCTTATATATGACACCAAAACACAAGCAACAAAAGAAAATATAGATAAATTGAACTTCATCAAAATTAAAAACTTTGGAGCTTCAAAGTATACTATCTGCCGGGCGCGGTGGCTGCTCACGCCTGTAATCCTAGTACTTTGGGAAGCCGAGGCGGGTGGATCGTTTGAGCTCAGGAGTTCGAGACCAACCTGAGCAAGAGCGAGACCCCATCTCTACTAAAAATAGAAAGAAATTGGCCAAACAACTAAAAATATACAGAAAAAATTAGCTGGGCATGGTGACGCATGCCTGTAGTCCCAGCTACTTGGAAGGCTGAGGCAGTAGGATTGCTTGAGCCTAGGAGTTTGAGGTTGCTGTGAGCTAGGCTGATGACACGGCACTCTAGCCCAGGCAACAGAGTAAGACTCTTGTCTCAAAAAAAAAAAAAAAGTACACTATCGAGAAAAGGAAAAGACAGCCTACAGAACGGGAGAAAATATTTGCAAATCATGTATTTTATAAATGATTTATATCTATTAATAGAATACATAAAGAACTCTTACAACTCAATAATAAAAAGAGAACCCCATTTGAAAATGAGTAAAGTATCTGAATAGACACTTCTCCAAAGACTTAAAAATGGCCAGTAAGCACATGAAAAAATGCTCAACATCATTGGCCATCAGGAAAATTCAAACAAGAACCACAATGAGATACCATTTTACACCCACTACGATGCCTACAATCAAAAAGACAGAAAATAGCAAGTGCTGGTGAGGAGGTAGAGAAATTGGAACCCTCATCCATTGCTCATCCATTGCTCATCCCTTGCCAGTAGGATTGTAAAATGATACTGCTGCTTTGGAAAACTTCAGTTCCTCAAAAGGTTAAGCATAGAGTTAGTTACCTTATGACCCTGCAGTTCCACTCCTAGGTATATACCCAGGAGAAATGAAAACATAGGCCCACACAAAAACCTGTACCCAAATGTTCGTAGCAGCATTACTCATAATAGCCAAAAAGCAAAAACAACCCAAACATCTATCAACTGAGGATTGCATAAACAAAGTGTGTTCTATAAAGGAAATGAAGTACTGGTGCATGCTACAACATAGATGACCCTTGGCAACATCATGCTAGGTGAAAGAAGCTGGTCACAAAAGACTGCACATATAATTTCATTTATATGAAATGTCCAGAATAGGCAAATCTGCAGAGACAGAAAGTAGGTTAATGCTTGCCTTGAGCTGGGGATGGGGTGGGGATTGAGGGGAAAGGGGAGTGACTGCCAACAGGTCCTGGGTTTCTTTTTGGTATGATGGAAATGTTCTAAAATTGATTGTGGTGATGGTTGCACAATGCTTTAAATATACTAAAACCATTGAATTGTATACTTTAAAAGAGTGAATTTACATGATATATGAATTATATCTCAACAAACTATTTTTTAAAAGACAGGGAGATGAGGAATTGGAGAGACTATGTATTTAAAAGTATGTGACTAGTGAGGGTAGAGAGAAGCCAGTGATGGGGATGGGGAGGTTGGGGGGGTGGTTTTTTTCTTATTTTTAAGGCTGAGGGATGCTAGGCCATCTTTGAATGCATCTGGAAATGGTTCAACAGAGAGAGGCTGAAGATGCAGGAGAGTGAAGGCAACTGGTGGAGCATAGATGGTCTCTCAGAAGGCAGAAGGAAGTGGGGTCCAGATCACAGATAGACAGACTGGCCTTTTGTAGACGGAAAGACAGTTTCTCCAGAAGAGGAAAGTGGTAGAGGACAGCACAGGTCCACAAAGGTCGATGGATTAGGTGATGGGAGAAAATGAGGAGAAGCTAGTCCGGTGGCTCTGACTTTCTGCTCTCTGAAGGGGGGAAAGAGTGAGAGGCTTGGACAACAGGGAAGGTGTGTGCTGGGTATTGTGGCTGTGGGGAGGGCAAGCTCACTAGAGAAAACTAGTAAGGTCTCCAGGAAGTACTGGGGGTGGTTGATAATGAAAGGATCAGAATGACTTCCTTGGGCTCCTGTAGCCCATGCCTCCCAGCTTTCTTCTTTCCTTTATGGCCATCACTTCTCAGCTTCCTTGGATAGCATTTCTACCTGTACCCAGTAACCTTTCTACGCTCATGGGCACACTTGGGGAGTAATAGCATGAACAAAATGGAACATGGTGCTTACTTTCCTGACACCTTCATGCTATCAGGAGAAACAGACCATCAACAAGCAATCACGTAATACGTCATTTAATTTCACTTGTGATTGGGGCTACCAAGGATCCTGTAGGTCATTGAGAGAGTGCATAGCAAGAACTCCTAACTTGGTCTGGTGTCCCTTTTACATGAGATTTCTCAGCACAGCACTTTGCAGGGAGCAGATATTCAATAACTATTTACTGATTATATGAAAGACCAAAGAGAAAGAAAAAAAATAGTAACTTTGCGGCTTGGAGTTCAATAGCTGCTCTGATAATGTAAGTATTCCTTTTTCTAAAAAAAGGAATTCAATAATTTTTAAAAGTGGCAAGAAACAGTACACCCGGGACATGGGCAAAACTGTATACTTAGGGGAAAAAACAGGCCACATTAATAGAGAAGGAGGAATGGCTGAATCTCAGTCACTATCTGTAATAAAATCAGTGTTGACATGAATACACCTCAGTTCATTAAAAGAGAGGTGTAGTTAGGAGAGGAAAAATCACCTGTTTTATAGCATCATGCAAAAGCAATCTCTCATCAAATAACAGGAGATTCAAAAATAATATATGACACAATTGCTTCCCTCAAGGAGCTCATAATTCAGTGATAGAAGAGATAATATAAAGACAACCAAAGATGCAAAGAAATATAATAATAGGATTCTGGCCCTTAAATTAGAATTTTTCAAGAATAATTAAGCATGCCTGAGACACCAGTCTTTAGTCCTTGGAAAGAGAGATTATCTATACATGCAAATGCACCAGGCCAAGAGTGGAGCCCGTGATGGGTAGGTTCCAGGGAGCAGTCTCTGAGCCAGAGGTTAGCATGCAGGAGGATTCTTGGGGAGTCCTCTCAGGATCCGTTCTCGCGGAAGGGAAGGGAAGAGAGCAGGATTGCACGGAGGGAGTGGGATGCAGCCTGACAACCCCTAGACCAACCCTATGAGGAGTTCTCAAGATGGGGTGGCCCTTCAGAGCTGCCCCTGCTCAGGGTTTGTAGGGTGCCTTGTATCACGGCACTGACCAGTCATGGTCTGCTGGCTGCCCTCGGGAAGGGAGAATGACACCAGGCAAAGAGACTCTTCAGCCAAAGCAATCCTTGGAGAAGGCTTTCACTGGGGAGTGTTTGATGGCAAGTGGGAATAAGTCCTCCAGTCCTGAAGGGGGATTGGGGCAGCACACCACAGTGTCCACTGCAGCATTTTCATTCCATTTGTCACTTACCACCTGCAAATGAGATTCGTGGAGTGACATGCAGCCCACCTAGAGAAGCAGAGGAAGCACTTGTGTGCACGCTGAACTTGTAAGCATGTCCCTGCTCCCCCTTCATGGTCTCTGCTATCGCACAGGCTGAATACGGCTGAACGGGCGTCCAGTAACAGTGTATTGCCCATCTCAGGGAAGGCCAGGCGTTTTAACTGAAGACAGTCTCTAAGGATTCCATCTCAATGGGGAAATTTCAGCCACCAAGGCAAAATGGGTACTGACAAGTTCCCCTCTCTTTCCCGTTCCTTTCTCTTCCTTTCCGTCAGTGTTACTTGGTAATAGCCTTGTCTCCTGCCCTCCTTCACTCTTGGATCATTTTATATAAATACGTGTATCAGTCAGGAAACTCTATAAACAACTTTAGATTTATATGTGATTTAATAACTTCTGGTTAACTAACTTGGTTCTGGGTAACGCATGTTGTGACCAGACATGAAAACAAACTTTCCACATTTCCCAAGGGAGCCGACTAACTAAGTATTATGGGAAAAAGAAAACAGATGAAAAAGATTTCATTGTCAAATAAGTTTGAAGTACACTGAATTAAAACTAAGCATGGCTTTACTATAGAACTTCTCAGAGACTTTAATATGCTAATGTACATGGCGAATTTCCCAGAGGACTCTATACATGCATTATGTCCCAGATTTTCTTGGGGAGCCTCCTTGAAGTTGTCTTACTTTGATGACCAGACTCTGGGAAAGGCTGTTCAAGATTTTAGCTGGTTGCCTGTCTATCAGTTTCATTTATGCTGTGGTATGGTTCACATTTTCTACATTCTGCAATTCTTTGGCTGAGTTTGATTTCAGTAATTATTATGGCTCCTTAGTTCACCTTGGGGTTTGATTGAAAATTTTAGCAAAAGCATTCAACCTAGTTCTTAATTTTCTATTATTTCAAGAAACTTCAGATTTCAGAGCCACCCTTCCTACTTTATTAAATTTACTTTTAAGCATTCTATGCAGTCTTTCTCTAACGTCTTATATGTAGATTTTACTTCTATTCCTCTTGGTCAAAAGAACTTTCTCAAACTAAACATCAGTGTTCTGTGCTCAATATTTACTTGAAAACTTGTGCTCACTCTTGACTCATATTTCTACTGTAACCCTTTTATTTCATCTAGCGTTTTGGTATTTGGGGAGAAATGCTTTTTGAAACATTTGTGTCTATCTGAAATAAACCTTTAAATTCACATAGCTTTCAATTTAAAGTTCTAAATGCTGGCTTCTTGAAGAACTCAGATGTTATTTTCACAAATACTTCACTTGTATTTCCTTCTCTTAAAACCAGTTTCTGTTATTATCCTGGAAATGATCAGAGCTTCTTTACTGATACTTTCTTGAATTTTCTTAGGAAAAGTTGAAGAGTTGAATCATGGAAGAGTTTAACCATATGTTATTAATGGGATGACGATGCAGATTTCTTCACAAAGACCTAGTCAAGAATAGATAAGGCACTACAGTGCCTTAGAGGTTACAAGTTGTAATAATTCCATTCAAGTTCATCTTAGAAATATGTTGCTGTATAAATAAAATAAGACTTTGTTTCCAGCCTCTGCAGAAGTAGGTTGTGACGCTGTCTGGGAGAAGAACCTCGATTCACACATTTGCTACCAATTCAACCTGCTTTCATCTCTCTCTTGGAGTGAGGCACATTCTTCATGCCACATGCAAGGAGGTGCTTTATTAAGTATTGCGGACGAAACTGAAGAAAATTTCATAAGGAGTAAGTAGGTGAATCATGCATATTGGTATCGCTACAATAAAATGTTGTCAAAAGTGATATCCACGTATACAAAAAATATATTTTGAAAAATAGTTTTTTAAAAAATATTTTTCTTGTCTTAATATGGCCCAAACTCTCACCCAGAATTTTCCCATGAACACTGGGCCATTCCATTTGGCACTCAGTCATGGCTTTCTTACTTTATTCCCCTTGGAGAAGCGAATTTGAAGCCACCACAAGGGACCCAGGAAAGTTGCGCTTCTATCAGGTGGATCAAGTAGACTGCTCCGTTTAAGTACTGATTCTTGCTCTTCTGGAGACCTTAACCATTCAATTTCCATTAATAAACAATTAAGCAGTTTATTAAACAAAATCTTATCTATCACTCACTGTGTATGAGTATATCATAGGCCTTCTGGTAGATGCCAAAGAACTTACTTTTAATGGGAAAGCAAAGGCACACCCATGTTAACTAACAGCATAACACAATAATATAAGATTTTAAAAGAGTTCACCCATCAACTAAACTCTCCTCTTACTTCTCCTTTATAGATTAAATGTGTATGTATATGCTTAAGTATACCTCTTCTAAAATTTTTTGAAACATTAGAAGGTGTCACAAAATTAATCAATTTCATTAGAAGTGGTGGCTACTATTTTTTTCAAATTTCCTTGCATATGTAGTATATATATTTTAAAATAATTTTTTAAATTGAGTTATACAGAAAGAAAAACATACGAAAAAGTTCCCGTAGTTCTGCAATCCACAAATAATCGTGTCTTTCTGCAAAAATATATAAATGCATGTGTATATGTGTAGTAGCTACAAAAAATGGTGTTGTATAAAAACGAAATGGCTATTACACCATGGTTGGGAGGAGGGAACAGAGAGGCACCTGCCTGGGTTTGAATCCTGCCTCTACCACTTCCTAGCAGGATTACTTAAGAAGGTAACTTAATCACTCTGTACTTCAATTTCTCCCTCTACCAAGTGGAAATAATAATAGTGTCTACTTCTTGGGTGGGTTACATCTTATATTGTTGCAAGTGAAATCTTAGAAAAGTGGCTGACACACATAACAAACAGTCAATGTGTATTAACCGTTTGGCAACAACTATGCACACAGTTTGGTAATCTGCTTATGTCATTTACCTGCATATAATGAACATCTGTCTATGTCTATAAATATAGATCTACATCATAATTTTTAGTGGTTATATAGTAATATAGATTAGCAATAATATATTGATCTAATCTCCCCCTATTAGGGATATAGGTTAAATTGTTTATTTTGTTTGTATTTATTTATTTGTTGCTGTTATAAACCATCCCTGCACATACCTTTATGCATAGATTCCCCAATTATTTCTCTACAAGTTTCTAGAAGTGTATTCACTGGATGGAAAATAAGCACACTTTCAAGCCTTTGAAAGTCATTAACGCCTTCCAGGAGAATTGTAACAAATGAATCAACAGTACATGTCTGCCCTACCCCACAGCAATGCAAAAGTGGGGAATTATTATTGAGACTGATTGGAGTAAGTCATAACACAGGAAAACAGCAATTTCCAAAGTCATTATTAGCCTGAAATAGTTTTTATATAAAAGTTTGTACACCATTTATGAATTATAATTGTTATCTATCTTAACTGCCAGGATTTCTCATGAGAGGATTTGGATTTATTTATCAAATTTGAATAACAATTTCAAACAATAAGATATGTCAGAGACTTCCATTTAAATATCTCAGTTCTATAGTTAGTCTTTAGGAACTGTTTAGGAAACCAGAAGTCTATTGATAAAGACAGAAACCTGTTCTGACCAAGGTATTTTTTAATGATGAGAATAGCCTAATGTTTCCTGCTGATTGCTGCTGTATATAGATTATGGTATAAGGAATTATCTAAGCTGCCACAAATGCCAAGAAATAGCCATAGGAATTTAGGTTTGAGTTTGTAATTACAGTATTGTAGGCCAATTTAGTTGCAAAGGTAACGAGACTTTTTTTTACCTTTCTAGACATAGACTATAAATTGCACAATGATTTTTATGTGTATTATTAAAACAATTACACAATGAGTATTCAAAATAATTCCAAGGTAAGAATAATTAAATGTTTTAATATTTTAATTAGATTTTAAAATATCACTGGGCACTTACCCAGATATGAAATGTGGAAATTTCTTCCTGTCTTGTAAATCCATTTCACCTCTTGTCATCATAAGTCCTGTTAAATGATTTAATCCAATGGTGCTATCAAAAGGAGTAATCAAATGAACATTAGGAAGAGACTCCATGTTAATGCGACAGAAACTAGGACGGGTGGGGCCCATGTATAGTGTGCTGTTCCTGTTTAGCAATTTCTGGAGTTTCAAAATCATGAAGTACCTTTATCTCTTTTCTCAAGTGGATGAAGTTCTTGCAGCTTTTCACTATTGTACTAAAATGTCCAATCACTGAGGATGCTGCAGCTTTGTTATATGACTACAATGACCTTCATAACCTGGGTAATCATACAATCTGTCATCTAAACCAAGACTCTTTTGAGAATAAAAGGGGCTGCGATTAATAATTATTCTGGAATTACCAGCATAAACTATGGGTTTTCCAGGAACCCTGGGACGTAGAGTCACCCTATTTATAACCCTTATCTGTCAAGGTCTGAATTTCAGGCTGGGCCCCTGCATCTGGCTTAAAATCAGTTGAACTCTGAAACAGATGAACCACAAGAGAACGATGCTCTCCTTTATAGATTAAGTGATTAAATGGCAACATTTGAAAGTTTCACAAAATTAGCCACTTGCGTTAAAAGTTTCTGACACTGGGTTTTTTTTTTAATTTCAAATTTTACTGCACAAGTAATACATGTTTATTCTAGAATAATTTTTTTAAATTCAGGTGCACAAAAAGAAAAATCGAATAAAATTTTCCCTTAATTCTACAATGCCAATAGTCACATTTTTCTGCACAGGCATGTCAATGCATGTGTTCATTCATAGCATCTATAACAAAATGGGTATTGAATTAAACCAAGAGTTGTTGTGGTGCTATGGTTAGGAGCAGTGGCCACAGAGCCAGCCTGCCATAAAAACTTCTCCCTCCTCAAGCTGTGGAAGCAGCCACGAGTTTGCAGTGTGCATGGCCTTAGGTCCCAACCTGCTAGATAGGGACCCCTCTGGATAGTTTGGTCCCTCGGATTATGCTACCCCTCTTGGCCAGACAACTCCTAGGGGCTCTCATACCGTCCAGCCCCCTCCCTTCTCTCTTCAGCACACCTTCTTAAATGTGAAGACTTGCCTCTGTTCACTTTCTGGGAATGGCCCCAAACACTTCTTTCATCCCCTGAAACCCTTAAATACATGAGCTCACGCAAATAAGATGGCCTCAAATATGTAACCAAGCACCATTAGATAGACTGATGACCATTGAAAGGCAACCTTCTGGATGCTTGGATGAAGCACTTCACGACTAAAGAACAGCTGTCAGCGAGCCCCTGAGAGACTGCTGTGTTTCTCAAGACAGTGGAGGCTTGCTCTGTCACTCTGAAGCACCAGGTGCACCACTGCTGTCATTGACCGGGATTAATTTATGACTCCATCATCCAGGACTAGAGAACAAGAAAGAAGGATAACATTGAATTGTCTTTCTTTCTTTCTTTTTGAAACTCCTTAATTTTCATTTCAGAGCACATGAGTGGTGATGCGGTGGAAGTGTGGATAGGTCTGAACCAGCTGGATGACCAGGCTGGCTGGCAGTGGTCCGATGGAACTCCGCTCAACTATCTTAACTGGAACCCCGGTACTCACAGTGTTTTAGTTGCCTTTCTTCATGTGACATCATCCTGCAGCCTTAAGCAGCAGCACTTCCTGTGTAGATATGACATGTTATTCTGAAAGTGGTCTATAAACATTTTTTTTAGCCTGACTGAATTTCTATGAGGCAAACTTTCCCAAACAAGAAAATAGAGGCCAAGAAGGTAAATTACTTAGCCAAAGTTGCTGGAGTATTAGGGTGGGGCCATGATTCTAGTCTTCTGTTTTAAAAATAGCAACAAATGCAAAATATCTCTCTACTTGAAAACAATAAAATTGGGTTTTTAGCAATCTTTGGGAAATCATTTAATTGTCATGCCTGGACTTTAACTGCAAAATCATAGATATAACATAAGGTTTCCTTATAGGATTTACTATGTATGCCAAACAGAAAGGCTGTCCCCTTGATGCTAAAACTACATTTCATATATTAAACTAACTGCTTTTGCTTCTAACTTAAACATGCACATCGTATTTTCAGAGGTAAATTTTGAGCCATTTGTTGAATATCACTGTGGAACATTTAATTCATTTATGCCAAATGCCTGGAGGAGTCGGGATTGTGAATCTACCTTGCCATACATATGTAAAAAATATCTAAACCACACTGATCACAAAATAATTGGTAAGTGTCTTCATTTTAAGTTGTTCTTATGTGTTGTTTACTTGTTCTCTCCATAATTCAAATTCCTCCTTATTTTTGCTGTTAAATTTACAATTTAAATTTAGCTAAGGCTGGTTTATAGTTATATGAAAATAATGTATAACTAGGCAATATCTGTTATTCCAAAGGCACCGTGAATTTCACAAATGCATTTAGGTTTGTACAAAAACTGAAACAAAATAACCTGTACATAGCAAACGTTTTCTTCCTCTCTTGAATTCTTAGTCATTCTGCATTAAAGAAACATGGTATGCTTTGTTTACTATTCTAGTTTTGAGTTTTATTTATGGTTCCCCTAGAAATTAAACATAAATTAGAAAATAATGTTATAAAATTCTTTACCTTGCTGATTTTCTCCAACATGACGAATCTGTTATTAGTAACACACCCTCCTCCCTGAAATAACACATGAAACTTTTAGATGTAATTAATACTTAAATAATACCTAATTTCAATCTAGTACCTGAAATCCAATTATTTCTGTTTTTAAGGTCTATTGCCTCCTTTTAGTTTCTGTGGGAATTAATGTCTTAACTCAGAAAGTAGAGATAAAAACATGAACATTTTTGAAAAGAATCATTACAACAATAATTAGAAACAACTAGATTTGAAATAATGAACCGAATTATCATTTAAAATATTGTTCCTTACAATTATGTTTTAACTTCCATATTCCTTTAAATAGCAAGTCTAGGAGCATTGTAGAATATGGGGTAGGGGTGAGGAGAGAAGACGCATGTCGTCATTTTTTTATGTAGAAATTTTTCCATTTTTTCAAGAATTTGCTGTGATGGCTATCAGCTGTTCCCTTTTCCCTGCCTCTCTTCTTTCTTTCATCTTCCTTTCTCCATTTCTTCCTTCTTCACTGTTGCTTTCTTTCTTATGCCATCTTGTACTCCCTCCTACCACCCTTCTTTTCTTCTGTTTTATTTATTCTTCTGATCTACTCACTGAGGTCAGAAGACCAGAAACAAGCCAAGCTTGTTTGGATTATTTGCTGTTGCTTCAAGTTCAACAGATTCTTTTGATGATGGAGCCCAATGACTTCAACCCGTGTTTCCAGCATCCCCAGGTTCCCTGCTTGGCTCTGCCTCTGCTTCAATCACAGAAGGTCCTCTTTACAAATTTCATGTTTAAAAGGGGTTCCATGACTACTTTTGTAGGTTGAAAACCATTGGGATAGATGATTATCTAAATGTTCCAACATTCTTTGACCATGATTCTAATTGCTGTCAGAGTCCTAGAAGCAATTTGGAAAAAAAAAAAAGTTTCATTTCCTAAATAGCTTTGAAGTCATATTCAACTAAATTAGTTCTTAAGGGAGGCACCTAGCTGTGGTTAATAAAATAAGGTAATGATGCTATCATCAGGATGGGGACAAGCTCCTGGAAAAGGAAAGCCAAAACTTGGCATGCACACCACCACCTTGCCCTCCAGTATCCAAAGCATCATGGCACTAGGTTCCCCTAAGTCCAATCCAGAATCCATATCAACTAGAGTGAGCCTCACATGAAACCTATTTATCATCCCTGCTTTAGAGGAAGGCTCTTTTCAGCTGAGGATACATATATATCCCACTCACATACTATGTATAAAATCCGTAATACTCCTTTTGCAATGTAAAAAGATTTCAAAAATAAACAGCTCTAACTATTAAATTTTATACCTAGCCCTGACTCTTAGCTTTCATTGTATGACTTTTGTCAATTTTCTTTACGTCTTCGTTTTTTTTACTTTATTAATATTTTTTAATTAAATTTTATTGTGTGTATTTAAAGTATACGACATGATGTTATAAGATATATATGGTTATATATATAAAATGGTTTATGTATTTATTAATATATATGTATTTTTATATGTAAGATATATATATAAAATGGTTATTATAGTGAAACAAATTAACACATCCGTCATCACACAGTTACCCGTTTTTCCCACTGTGGTAAAAGCAGCTATAACCTACTCATTTAGCAAAAATCCTGAATACAATTCACTATTAGTAACTATAGTCTTCATGTTGTACAATAGATCTTTAGACTTGTTCATTCTACATATCTGCTACTTTATATTCTTTGATGTACATTGCCCCATTTTCTTCTCCCCCATCCTGACCCCTAGTAACTTTTCATCCATTTAGCAATTCTATGTCTTTCGATTAGAGAATTTAATCCATTTGCATTCAAAGTAATTGTTGGTAAGGATTTACTACTGCCATTTTGTTCATTGTTTTCTGGTTGTTTTATAGACTTTTTGTTCTTTTCTTCCTCTCGTTGTTTACCTTTGTGATTCGGTGATTTTTTATAGTGCTAAGTTTTGATTCCTTTCTCTTTATCACATGTGTATCCGCTATAGTTTTTGCTTTGTGGTTATCATGAGATGTACATAAAAAAATCTATAGTTATAACAGACTATTTTACATTGGTTGCATTTAAAAACTCTAGACATATTTTTATCCTCCTCCCTGACAATTAAAATTTCGATGTCAAAATTCGTATCTTTTTATTTTGTTATTTCTTAACTTATTGTAGCTATAGTTTTTTTTTATCATTTTGACTCATACTGGAGATATGAGTGATTTACAGATCACCATTACAGTATTTGAGTCTTATGAATTTGACTATATATATTTACCTTTACCAGTGAATTTTATTCTTTGACATGTTTTCAAGTTAGTAATTAGCATCCTTTCATTTTTTTCTTTGAGAACTCCCTTAAGTATTTCTTGTAAGGCAGGTCTGGTGATGATGAATTCTCTCCTCTTTTGCTTGCCTGGGAAAGACTTTATTTTTCTTTCATTTCTGAAGGACAGATTTAATAGCTGTAGTGTTCTTTGCTGGAAATTTTTTTTTTTTTTTGGTATTTTGAATGTATTATCTCATTCTTTTCTTTCCTGGCCTGCAAAGTTGCTGCTGAGAAGTCTGCTGATAATCTAATGGCGATTCCCTTACATGTGATTTGGCATTTTTCCCTTGCTGCTTTTAAAATTCTGTCTTTGACTTTTGGCAGTTTGATTACAATATGCCTTAGTGAGGATTTCTTTGGATTAAATTTGTTTGAGGACCTTTAAGTTTCAAAAATGCTCATATCTTTCCCAAGACTTGGGAAGTTGTCAGCAATCATTTCATTAAATAAGTTTTCTGTCCCTTTCTCTGTCTCTTCTCCTTCCGAAATTCCCATAATGCGATGTTTGTTCATTTAATGGTGTCCCATAAGTCCCATAGGCTCTTCATTCTTTTTCATTTTTCTCCCTCTGACTGGATAATTTTAAAAGATCTGTCCTCAAGTTCACAGATTCTGTCTTCTGCTTGATCTAATCTTCTGTCGAAGCTCTCTATAGTAGCTTTTACTTGATTCATTGAATTTTTCAACTCTGATGTTTTCATTTGGTTCCTTTTTAAGATACCTCTTTGTTGAATTTCTCATTCAGATTATGAATTGTTTTCCTGATTTCATTGAATTCTCTTGCATTTCACTGAGTTTCCACAAGATCATTATTTTGAACTCCTTTTCAGACAATTTGTGAATTTCCTCCTCTTTGGTGTCAGTTACTGGAGAATTATTGTGTTCCTCTAGTAGTATCATATTTTCTTGCTTTTTTGCATTTCTCGTGTCCCTGAATTGATGTCTTCCCATATGATGGAACAGTCAACTCTTTCAAACTTTACAAATTGGCTTTCATAGGGAAAAACTTTCACCTGCAAATGGGCCTTAGAGTGCTAGTTAGGAAGTGTGTGGTGGCTCTGGTTCCAAGTGGATGCAGTGTTATGGCCTCTGTGCAGTTTCTTCAGCTGCAATCAATATCAGCAATGACTGTGGGTGCCTCAGTGGCCCAGGCTGCAGGTGCTTGGGGCTGCAGCAGCAACAGTCTGTGCTGTTAGGGTCCTCAGTGGCAAGAGCTTTCAGGATCCTCCTGTTCTCATTTTCCCAACAATAAGGAGTCTTAGCTGAGAGGACCCCTCTTGGTGCTGAGTCTGACATGGCCCAAAAGCAGTGGTGCAGGGGTCCAGAGCACAGATGCTTAGAACAGTTGAGGAAAAAGGGTCTGAGACTTATGATACAGGTTCACTCTCCAAGGCATGGGAGGATGAAGATTGCCCACAAAGCCAGGGTCTATGACTCTTAGGCACATCCCAGTAGCTTGGACCCAAGGGGCCAGGGTAGCTGTGACTCTGACCCTGGGGTGACAGAGAACATCACTGGCCCAGCTCCTAGGAAGGAGTGCTCTGGAGGTTTGGCCCCAGGCAGCAGAGCACATCTATAATTTGAGAACCAGAGCCAATGTGGCATAGTGGCAACTCAAGCTCTGAGGCTTGACCCTAGGATGGTGGAACCCATCCTAGGGTCAAGTATCTCAGACTCTGTGAAGGCAGGTACAATGGCAGCAAAGGCCCAGCTGTGGCTGAGGCAGTAGGGGACAAGAAGCAGCAAAAACATGACTCTACTCCCTGAGGAGGTGGAAGGCCTCAGCAGTTCAGGTTTTAGGGGACTGGTCTAGTTCCAGGGAAGCAGGGTGCTACAGTTGTTTGGCCTGGAGGACAGGGTATCCCAGCTCAGCCAATGCTGTTTCTCTGGGACATGGGGTGCTTCATTCAGCTCAGCCCTGGGAGGCACAGTTGCTCAGCTCAGACAAGGCACCAATTCCATAGGAGGTTGGGTGCTGCTTCAGCTCATGTGCTGGGGGCATGACTGCTTTGGGTAGTGAAGGCACCATTTCCCCTGGAAGTGGGGCACCACTTCAGCACAGGTACCAGGGTGTTACTGTTCTGGGAAGCCAAGGCAGAAATTCCCTGGGTGGTGAGGCACGGCTTCAGCTCAGGCACCAGGGCATGAATGCTCTGGGCTGCCAAGGCAAGGATTCCCTGGAAGGAAGGGTGCCACTTCAGCACAGGAGGCAGGGTGCCACTCAACACAGATATTGGGGGGCATGACTATTCTAGGTTGTTTCTTTGGGAGGCAGGGTGATAAGGCAGCTCAGGCTCTGAAGGGCAAGGTGCAGCAGCAGTTGGGAGAGGTAGATGAAGTACTCTGTGGCAGCTTGGCCGCACAGGTTAGAGTGGGGGCCCCACAACAGTTCGGCTTGGGGATGGTGGGTCACCAGGTAGGGTGCAGTGGCAACAAAACCTCAGTGATGGAAGGGTGCCATGGCTACTCACCCCCAGAGCAGAACACACTCCACCAGTGGTTACTTTTCCGAGATGTTGTAGCGCAGTAGCCACAGAGGCCACAGTGGGGCAGGGCACAGTGTTATCTCTTTCTCTAGGGGAAGCAAAGCTGTGTAGACTCAAAGCAGCCCCCTCACCTGAGCTTAGTGCCTGTGAGGACTGTAGGAGTGGTGAGGGCTATAGGTGATCACAGTGGTGATAGGGCTGTCAGGGTCCTCTTGCCCACCCTTTCCCCACAGGGAGAAGTCCCTCCTGGCTCTGAGCCGATCACAAGTGGGGGACAGGAGAGGGTTTCTCTGCCTTTTGTTGTTTCTGCTACTCACTTGATGTACTCCAGCACTCTCTTTCGGCAACCTTCATCAAGATGTATCTGTTTATTTATTGCTTTGCCTGTTCTTGTGAGGAGGTGAGTGTAGGGGATCTCTAGTCAGCCACCTTGCTGACATCACTACTCTTCTCATTTCTTTGTACCTTAGATATCTCATCTGGAAAATAAAGTTCTGAGATTCATTTGACCCTATATCTAGATCTAGATCATAGAGTAGACACTTCTCAACTCTGAAGATCTATAATTTCATGATTTATATGTCATTTCATATGTTTCTGTTTTTCACATTTTAAAGTAATCATATTGGTGGCAATTTATATAAAGGATAATAAGTGATGTTAAAATAATTGTGGAAAATGACTTTCTTTGTTGTTGGTTTAAAAAGAAAAAGATGCTTGGAAATATCATGCTACCCACTGTGAGCCTGGGTGGAATCCCTACAATCGTAATTGCTACAAACTTCAGAAAGAAGAAAAGACCTGGAATGAGGCTCTGCATTCTTGTCAGTCTGACAACAGTGCATTAATAGACATAGCTTCATTAGCAGAGGTGGAGTTTCTTGTAACCCTCCTTGGAGATGGTGAGTGCCAATTACCTTCAGTTTAAGAGGTATAAAATATAATGTAGTAACTACTTTTGTTAGTGGAATTAAAAAGAAATTTAAGCTATTTAAGAGTGGTTATTTATGGTACATATATTTAAAGTTTCTAAATAATATCCAGGAGTGCAAATTCATCAGATTTTTACAAAATACATGTTTGGACACTTTATAACATCTTCACATACGCCAGATATATTAGATGGTTTTTAATTTTTTTTAAAGGGGCAAAGGTTGTTTCCAAAAACTCCTTATTAAAAAACCTAAACCTGTAATTTAGCTTTATGGCCACTAGACAGCAGTAGTGTGTTGTGGTCATGTAATCTAAGTAATAAGGGGAGACTTCCTTAGGCAAATAACTGGATTTAAATAATTTTAGCCAGTAAAAATGAATACTTTATTTGGTGAGGTAGTTTTCAGACTATGAACCATGTCCAGGAGTTCCAGGCCCCTGGGCTTCCACTCAGCTTTGGTCCATCAGAGCAGGTCTGCTCCTCACTGTGTCGTATATTAATACTTGACATAGAAGTCCGCTGAAAAGCATTGAAATTGCTGACTTTGTTTTTCCTAAAATGAAAAAAAATAACCCAGACTCTACTTTTATGACCTTTCAATGTTAGGTTTTAGTCTGGAGTGAAAACACAAATCCTTCTCTGTCATTTTCCCTAATTCTCTGCATTTGGGATTGAGAGAATCCTTCGGGTGCTTATGTCAACAAGGGCACTTGCACATCTCTCTCAGTAATGTAGGGTCGTTCACCCCACCTAGGCTGTCAAGCTTTAGTTAATTTTTCAACAACCCGACTGCTCCCATTTCAATGACTTTAAGAGCTTCTGCTCCTTTTTTCCATGGCAAAAAAGAAAAAAGGCAAAAAAAAAAATGTATCTTTAAGCTAGACAATCATTAAAACTTTGGTTTTTTTTTAAATATGCCCTTTTCATAATCCAATGGATCTTCCTAGTTTTCCTTTCTCTAGGCGGAGCAAAACCAGACTTTTCAGATCCACTTTACAGACAACAGCAGAAACCAGAGTCCCAGGAATCTGACTGGCTTAGGCTCTGTCCTTGAATTGGCTTAGCTCACACTTTGCCTCACTTCTAAGGCCTATATCCAGCAGATCTGGACATTATGGGATGTCTTAGCCCATTTCTGTTGCTCATAACAGAATACCTAAGAAAAGTATAAAGAAAAAGGAATTTACTTCTTACAGTTATGAAGGCTGGAAAGTTTAATGTCAAGGGGCTGCATCTGGTGAGAGCCTTCTTGCTGGTGGGGATTCTCCGCAGAGTCCTGGGGTAGTGCAGGGTATCACATGATGAGGGGCTGAAAATGCTAACTCTTCCTCTTCTTATAAAGCCACCAGTCCCAATCCCATGATAACCAATTAATCCATGAATGGATTAATCTATTTATGAAGGCACAGTCATGTCCCCTCATAACCTAATCGCCTCTTAAAGGCCCCACCTCTCAATACTGCCACATTGGGGATTAAGTTTTAACATGAGTTTTGGAGGGGACAAACATTTAAACCATAGCAGGGGGTAGGGGGAAAGTTTTAAACAGGTATTTTGTACTGAGACATAAACATAGTTCATCACATGAAGAAATAAAGAAGAAATCACATGCAAAGTGGTATATTTTGGTAATAACCCATGTGTCATCTCCTTTGGAAATAATAGCATCTTGTGAGTAACTTACATTTATCTCTTACAGAAAATGCATCAGAAACATGGATTGGTTTGAGCAGCAATGGAATTCCAGTTTCCTTTGAATGGTCTAATGGCTCTTCAGTCATCTTTACTAATTGGAACATACTCGAGCCCCAAATTTTTCCAAATAGAAGCCAGCTATGTGTCTCAACAGAGCAATCTGTGAGTTGATTCATTTGTTCAAAGCTCACTTTGCTGGACTAGTGTTGAGGGCCACCTGTGCCAGGGACTTGAGCGGGGCAGAGACCAAGACAGAGATGGTCCCTGCTGCTGGCCAAGGCTTGCCCAGTTTAATGATCAAAAAGGAGACCAGTGGTGAGGAGGAAGTAGGAGATGGGGCAGGAGGAAGGCAAAAATGCCAGGTTTATAGGCCACAGTATAGGAAGCACTCAAGTGCTGCAAGGGGGTGAAGGGCATGATCTGATTTACATTTTTAGGAAGTAATTGTGGCTGCTATATAGAGAATGGATGGGAGAGGGATAAAATGAAGCAGAAAAACCAGTTTGGAGGCTACTCCTTGGTTGAATTAGGGTGGTGACTATGAAGAGAAGTGAACAGATGCAAGGATGCATTGGAGAACAGGATGCACTGCTAATTAGATGTGGGGCTGAGAGAGAGGCAGGTTTTGGCTTGAGCAACCACCATTTGGGTGGATGGTGGTGCTGTCGGCCACCGTGGTGAAGATGAGGGGAAGAGCTGAGGGTTGGAAGATTACTCTGGAGAGTGATGGTTTTTAAGCTGCATTATCTTATTAACATAAAAGGATTCAAACGCCATGTGTAACCTCTTTGAAAATTGTAAAGCAATGGTAAGTCACTCTTATTCTCACATGAATGGAAAGGTCCCGGTGGCCTGAACATCACACTTATCCCTGTGTTCTAGTCTCTCATTCATCTAAAGACCTGACTATACAGAATTAGTTTAATCCTGAGCCATTTGAACAATTTATATATGTCTAAACCAGACTTAATCTCTTTGATCAGAAAGCTGCTGAATGTACTGGCTGAGTCTGAAGAGGTCGTTGGAACCAGGGAGACGTCCTCATTCTTTCTAACCGCCAGAATACATGTCAAATCCCCCCGAGAAGTATTACTAAATGTTACTGAAGTAGCTTGACAAAGTAATTGTGCCAACCAAACATGGAAAATTTCTATGCACTTCCTTTTGTGACATGTTTCATCTCTTAAGACAAGAGATGCTACAGCACAGATATAATTATAGGTGCACAGTGTCTCTGAGTCACATTTGAGGAGGGGCAAACAATGACCTCTCTAAATGTTTGTCTTGGGTCTAGCTCTGATGAAATCCACCACTGTTTACTCTACAGTATCTGAGACTTTATTGGTTGGTTCATTGGTGTTAATATAATTAAGATGACCTACATTTCCTATTGACAGACGTGGATATTTCATTTAGCATGGTTACAGAACAGGAGCCAACATTTGGACAGGGGTTATTTTCCAGAGAGTGAGGATAGGTATTAATATTATTGGGTGTATCAGGACAGTGCTCCTGTAAGTGTGATATTTTGTGGCCCCTTTTTTGGCAGCTCAGTAGCTCCTTAAATAGTAGATGTATAAAAATTAACATTTATTTCCATGAAGCAGAACTCAATGTGAATATAATTATTATAATTAACAAGTTACCTAATCATGGTTGACACCTAAATTTGAATGTGAGAGCCTAGGAAACTATTTATTCATTCATCCATCCCTCCAACAGTTATTAAGCAACTACAGTATGCCAACACTGTCCTATAACTGGGTAGTCTGCAGAAGATTTCATGGGGTAGTGAAACAGGGCTCCTCTTACAGATGAAGGTGTCAGCCCCAGACATAATATTTTTCTGAGTGTCATGAAAGGGCTCCACATTCCCCGAAAATTCTAGATGCCTGAAATGCCACTAGGAATTTGAATTGCGTAGTTTTAGCCTAAGGTTCTGATTTGTGTTATTAAAAAAATCATTTGGGAGGATAAAATTTTAATCTGTTAGTAGTTATTATATCATTATTAATGAAGACTCTGAGAGTAGCCTTTGGTAGAATTAGGAGAAGACACGAAGGTGTCTGCCTATCATATAAAGAGGAAATGGGGTGGTGCTGTGCAGAATTAGTGAGGAAGGGAGACACTGGGAGTTAAATGTGAATTTCAGCTATGCAAATGTTATCTAGGATGATTCATGGTGCCTCCCAGGCATTTCCCCTGTATCAGGTTTATACATGAAAGCAGCAAAGCATTCAATTTAACACTTAGAAGTGGGTGGAGACAGACACAGCACTCTCACTTGGTCGGGGGATGGCTTCATCCAAGTGGTTCTCAAAGTGTGGCCCCCAGACCAACAGCATTACCATCATCTGAAAACTTGTCAGAAATGAAAATTCTTGGCTCCCATCAGACACTCTGATCATGGGGCCCAGTCCTCTGTGTTTCAGTAACTCCTCCAGGTGCTTCTGCTGAACACTAAAGATTGAGAAGTACCACTCTGTCCCATCTTTTAAAAGAAAAATGGAGACCAGCTTGATGGAAAGCCAGGCTGACCTTGGTATCAATCCAAGCTCCAATTTCTACTGACTATAGAACCTTGTGCAAAATATTAAACCTAATAATCTTTAAAATGGTAATAATAATCCCCACCTCACAGGAACATTGGGATAACATATGAAAGTCACCCTACATTAAGCCTGGCATGTGGCAGCCGTCAAGAAACACAGGTTAGTTGCTCCTGCTCACCCAGTTCGGGACTGCAGCCTTGAAACCCGTGCTGGAGAGAGAGGGGGCCTCCCACCCATGGAGAGAGTCTCAACTCTTTCTGTGACAAAGCAGGCTCCTGCCTGAGACATCAGCCCATGCAGAAACGCTTAGTATTAACCATATTTGTGTTCATAATAATTGGTTTTGCCCATCAACATCAGCACAGAGTGAATTCTTGTGACCTTTTTCTCCTTAGGAGGGACACTGGAAAGTTAAAAACTGTGAAGAAACACTTTTTTACATTTGTAAAAAAGCAGGCCACGTCCTTTCTGACACTGAATCAGGATGTCAAGAGGTAAGTGCTATTAACATTGTGACTTAGGTACGGGGACTTCATAACTAGGATAATACAGCTGCCCTCAATCTAAAGTGAATGTGTGTGTGTGTTGTGTGTGTGTCTCCCTCTCTTTCACCCTCTCTCCCTTCTTTCCTTCCCTGCTCCTTTTTCAGTTCCTAGAACAGTTGTCTTGCTATCTTCTTTGACCTAAGACTACTTTTCTTTTGAGATAGAAAATGTAAGTGGTCCTGATGTACCATCTGTGCAGTGACTGTCCTGTGATGCCCGGTCTCGTAGCTGGTTCTCCTAGTTTTCAAGTGGGATGTCAAAACTATTGTGTTCCTTTGAGTCAGAGCGAACTTCTGCACCCAGGGTCTCTCCTTACTTTCACTTTTCTCAGACTTCAATATTCGAGTAGAATACAATGATGGAGAGAAGTGCATGTTTGCAGTATATTTGTAATACAATCTGGAAAAGGGATAAAAAAATACTTTAATATTTTAAGTAAAAAAGTATTTTAGATATTTCAAGTAATAAAAATAAGTTTAAAATTAAAAGGTAGAAAATTGTGTTTTAAATTTCTTAAAATACATTCAATATATCCTACACTAAAGTTGCATAAAATCTACCTGTCAGCATCCTCAGCACACGTACTCACATTCGCTCACATGCTCTCCCTCTCTCTCTCTGTCTCTCATTGGAAATTTTTATACAGTATGAGTCACAGAATTTTTCCAGATCTGTTTTTTTATGCAACTCTGCTTTAATTATTTTCTCTTATAATCCAATTATTTGTATTCCAACTAAACAATGACCCATCTCCCCAGAAATTGCATTTTATTCGTTAATCAATGTGTAAACATGTGAATGACTCTTCATACTAGGTAATGCATGTACCATAGCTGACATGTCACCAAACATTTTACCTAATGATTATAATTTCCGAATTAGTTATAGCTGATCACTGACTTATCTCTACCTAAACAGAAATATTGGGGAGCGGGGAGGCATTGGTCTTATTGTGACTTTCAAGGGAACTCAACATGTTTTATTTTTGTTGAAAGGACAACGAACTTCTTACACAAGATAAACAGAACTGACGTCCTATTCAAACTTTTGTTCACTGCTTCCCTTCTCCCTTTACCAGTATCTAAAGATTCTGAGTTCAGAGCCAATATTGCAGCATTGTGGGGAAATTCCCATTAATTTTATTGGGCATCCGTCTGTGACTATGGTTTTGAAAGGTTTCTTTCTTTTAGACAGTTGCTTCAGTGTAATTCTCTTAACAGTCTGCACTTACAAAATCAACTTGTAATAACAGTCTAGATAATTTCAAAGCAAAAAAAGTGATTTATTTTTTCCTTCTGTATCACTTTTTTGAGATTGGACAATGTGAGCCATTGTTTCAGTGTTGTCATCATTTCTTCCATTTTAAAATGAAATTACACCTAGCATACAAAGGACTAACTTATATAATCAATTATCCTTTCCACTTTCATTTTGTGGACAAAGGCTTGTAGTAAGGAGTCTTTTTTTTTTTTTTTTTTTTTAGCTATTCTGCTCCACATCTTTTTTCCCTCTGTTTTCTTGAGCCTGTTCAGTTCTGGGATTTTTTTGTTTTGCTAAGCAGCTTATGATCTAAAAACTACTAATAAAGAAGAAATGCATTGTCAGAAAGGTCAGATGTCAGCCTCCCTCCTCCCGTCCTTCCAAGTACAAAAGCAGTGTAACCTCCCTGCCCCTATCCCGGAGTGATCCACGAAGGAGCTGTCTGGAGCTGTCAGTGACTCACACGGAGAAGGCCGGGAGTACAACTAAAAGCCAGTGAGTTCAGAGCAGATCCTGGATGGCCGGGTGCAGGAGCTCCTGTGATCCACACCTCATTTAAGGATATGTTTTGAACTAAAATAGCTGATTTCTAAATTAAGGTCTTCTTCAATTTACTGTGAGACCAAGACCTTTTTCAAGAAATGCACTAGAAATCATTTTATGTCTGATCAAAAGCTGGCAAGTATTGGCATGGCATAAAATGAAGAGTATTTTAAAACTAGTGAATAAGTACAAATAGGTATAAGTGATGTGACTTTATAATATTGGAAAAAAGACCTAAAATAACTCAGTTGAAATATAGAAGACTAATGAAGGTATGCCTTCTGCACTGCATGACTTCAAAGAATAGAGCCACCCACCCTTCATTGCTCCCAAGGCTAAGCCATAGAGCATCACGCTTGTCATTTTTGTCTGAGTGCCAAAGCTTGCTTTCTTCCTCTCTAAAAGGCCAGCCAGTTAATTTAGGAATAATCTTTACACACACACACATATAAATATGCCATTCTCTATTTGGAAGCTTTATGATCCCACCAAGATCATCCTGGACTGCACCAGAGTTGGTTTCCAGGCCCCACTGATCCACTAGTTTGTGACTTTATCCAAGTCCCTAACCTCAGTGAATCTCAGTGGGATAACACGAAATAATCAATTTCAAAGAAGGTTGATTAAAATTTATAGGTTTTAATGTTTCCACGAAAGTTGAAAATATCTACAGTATAATCTAGATACATATGTCCTCTTTGTTCATATTGAGCCCCCCATTTCAATTCTAAGATCTCTATCTGCATTGTCTCCCTTTGATTCTCAAAACAGCCCCACAGATACTATTATTATCACCATTTTATAGATGAGAAAACTAAGAGGTCAAATAAGATCACATGGTGGTAGAACCAGGTGCGTTCAAAATCATGCATTCTGACTCCAGAGCCAACACTCTTAATTTTTACCCTCCTGTACTAGGGGGATGGGGGAGAAAGAGAGAGAGAGAAAGAGAATCTCAATCTTGAGTGAGTGCCCCTTTATTTGCTTTTAAGGTTTTGGGTTTTAACTTAATTAAAATTTTTAGGTTTTAAGATAGTTAAATAAATGTAGAAGTGGCTATAGCTAATGGCATTACTAGATAGAACAAATATAAAGATTTCAAGGAGTTTTGAGTGAGTCAGAGGAGAACGTTATATAAATGGTAAAAAATATATATATGCAAAAAAGATCTCTTGGTATTTAACTAAATCAGATTATGTCCTTAATTTCCCTTTTCTTTTTTTAAGGGATGGGAGAGACATGGCAGATTCTGTTACAAAATTGACACAGTTCTTCGAAGCTTTGACCACGCTTCCAGTGGTTATTACTGTCCTCCTGCACTTGTAACCATTGCAAACAGGTAAACAAAAATTTTCTAACAGAAACATGACTATGCTTTGATGATAAAAATCTAGCTGCAACCATAACTTGTCAAAATCTAAACTGTGCCATACATTGGAGTATTAAATTATTCAAATTATTTATTGAGATGAATTTCAATCATACAATGTTATTCCTAAACTGATTTCTGAGTTACAAATAGTAACATTTAAGGTGACTTTTACTTTCTATAAAGGTTTATTAATTAGCTTTGCTAATATATTCAGTTGTTTTTAGATTTTATCTTCTAACTGCTTGTAATGAAAAAGAAACATGTTGTTTATTAATAACAATTAAGTATTTTTTAAATGTAATTTTTTAAATGTAAAAGTGTGATTTGCATGGTTTTTTTTTTTTTTAACAGAAAAGGAACTCTAACTAAAATGTGGAGGATATTCAAATGCTTCACCATTGCTTCTTAGGTCAATTTTGTTTAGATTGAGACTTCTCTGTGCACATGTCTTCCTGATGCTGACACAGAGACTGTGCCCTTTTTTACATTCCATACAATTTGAAGCATGCTACAGATGTGTAATACCTGTAGGAGATAAAAGTACCAACAGCAAAGGTGATGTCATGCCAGGAGGACAGTGAGGGCTGGGAGACCAACTCTTCCCTGCTGAAGACAGAAGCAGGGGCTCTTTTCATTGGCTCCACGGGAAACTACACCTACAAAGCAAGTTACTTGCTTTTTTGCCCAGGCCATTGCCTTTAAAAATGTCCACAGAATACCAGCAAATAGGACAACTGGTCTATGGTTTCACATAGATACCCTTCACATGTGAGCATAATTTGTAAACGGATTCCTGTATGCTTTCTCTGCTCTCGTCACATTGGGAGTCAACATGCAAAGCCATCACTATTTCCTTCCTCCACTTGCCTTCTTCCTTTCCTGCCTTCGTTCCCACCTTTCCTCCAAACAGCACACTGGAATGCACATGCACACGCACACATGTGCACACGCACACAGAGAAATGGACCGATGGCAATTTCACAGACTAAATCACCTGGTGAAACATTTTATGCTCAGGAGACACTCCCTTCAGGATCTAGCACTATCTTCGATGTATCTTAGCTCTGTTTTTAGTTCGTCTTTCTCCTTCCCAGGTGTAGCTACCAGGCAGAAGGAAGCCTTTATCAACTTGCTAACCCACCCAAAAAATTCCACGAGCACCTTGGGTTGGAAGTCCCCCAATCAGTGAGTCAACATTTATGGGAGCCTGACCAATGGAGCTATGCTCTTCTGTTAATCATAATTTAATTATGCTTTTCACTGAAGAAAATAAGTCTAATTGTTTCATCTGGTTTTTTATGTCTTATTCTTTCTTTTCTTTTTTTGTCTAATAGTTTTTGAGTGCCTGTCACATATCTGGCACTGTGTTAATTACTTTTCATATGTTACCTGACCACACAGAAAATTAATAGCCAAGAGTTTATTAGGAAGTTATTTATAGAATACCTATTTTGTGAGAGGCATCCTATTAAACACTGACATTCTATACAAAAGAAATAAAAGGGATAGTATAATCATCTGGTGCCTTTTGGAGCCCAGCAGCTGAAGAGACAGAACACAGACACATGAAATAAGTGAAGAAAGTAGAATAATGCAATAAATGGACGAACTCAAAGTAATATTATAGGTAGGCCATAGCGCCAACAGCTAAGGCAGAAATCTGTAACAATACTTCGTACTCTACAAATCCCTTGGGGACCTCATGCAAATGATAGAAAGTGTCTGGGGAAAAAAAATCTGTTTCATTTCCTCAAAAACTGAATGCAGGAGTATGTTTGAATACTTGAAATGTTTCCTGTAAGCAGAACCATGGCATAGGTAAGTTTATTTTTATCCCAGTCTAGACCTCCTAGGCCCATCCATGGTGCCTTGTGCTATTAGTTCTATCTTGATGTTCCCTGGTCCTCGGCTCCCAGTGTCAAGAGTGAGTACTGGTAATGAGTTGAGCCGATGACAGAGTGATCACAAATACAAAGCAATCCACACAGTTTATTACAGAAAAGAAAGAAACTGCATAAAGTGAAAGTAAAAAAGGAAGCTATCTAAAGTGAAAATGCATTCCAGAGAGAGGAACAGGTCAGTTTCCAGGAGTGGAGAAAGATGTTGAGGACTCCCAGGTGTTTCCTTTTATTGGCCTGGTCCAGGGGCAGGCTTACAGGCAGTGTGTGAAAAAAAATACCAAATGATCATCAGGTGTTCTGCGTTTTCGTGCAGTTCCTTCCCCTGATTGGTGCCCGGCTTCTCCACACCTAGAAACCACCCTCCTGGCCAACACTCACCACCTGCAGATTTGATCCCTACCTAACTAAGTGTTGGCAAGCTCCCCAGGCACTGACCAAGTCCTGGCAGGACTACACGGGAGCAGGAATGAGGCACCTTTCCGAGTCAGTTAACATAAGTGTATACTACACACCCCAAGCAGTAACTCCAACAGAGGACTTACAAATTGAGGAAAGGAAAGGCCCCATCCTCTTAATTTCTAATATTCAGACCCCATCAGAAAAGAAACAAGGGTCCACACCGTCCTGCTCTTTGAGTGATAATACATATCAGAATATTCACCAACAGCATCTTTTGTCTGAGAAGGTTGGGCAGTAGACAGAAAGTCTCCTTAGATCCCAGAGCGTCCACTAGCAGCCTTGGTAATCATTTTCCTCCATTGCTGATTTCCTGTTTGAGTTAAGACACTCCTGTCACTCTTCAGTACCCAAGCTTGTAGTTGCTAATTGATTTTCCCCTCTTCTGCACAATGGAGTGACAGGTTTGATGGGCACAATTAGAAGCACCTGCTACAGATTACTTATTTCTTTTGTTATTGGTCAACTGCTGCTGGTCTAGGACTTTTAACACTTTGTGGAATTGCGAGGGGAAGAAAAACAGATCCCATATTGCTGAATAACAGACTTTTATTTGCTTGCCAATTGTTATGAAACTTTTTTAGGCCTGGCCACTTTGTTTCCGGACAAAGCATGACTGTAAAACTTGAGTTCCAGAGTTGCAATGGATGATTGTCTAAATGCATGCATATCTAAATCTTGAATCACGGAATATTTGGCACAAAGTAATCCAAAGGACATTCCATTTTGTGAATTTTGCCAAAAGTGAGAAATCCTACAGTATCTCATTTTCTGCTAGGTTTAAATGTGCCTTGTTTTCAAGTATTTTTTCAGCTCTGACGTTTTCCTACAACTGCCATATCCCCCAAAACACATTTGCAGTAAACTTTTTTTATTGTGGTAAAATATACATATACATAAACAAAATTTGCCATTTTAGCCATTTTTAGGTGTACAGTCCAGTGGCATTAAGTGCACTCATATTATTGTTCACCCACCACCACCATCCATCTCCAGAACTTTTTTCATTTTCCCAAACTGAACTTCTGTACCCATTAAACAGTAACTTCCTATTCTCCCCTCCCCCAGCACCTGGCAACCACCATTCTATTTTCTATTTCTATGAGCTTAACTACTTTAGAGATCTCACGTAAGTAGAATTATGCAGTATTTGCTTTTCTGTGTCTAACTTATTTCACTTAGCATAACGTCCTCAAGCTTCATCATGTGATAACATATGTCAGAATTTCCTTCCTTTTTAAGGTTGATTAATATTCCATTGCATGTATATACATTTTATTTATCCATTCATCCATCAATTGATATTTAGGTTGCTTCCACCATTTGGCTATTGTAAATAAATGCTGCTATGAACACAAATGTACAAATATCCTTTGAGTCCCTGCTTGCAATTCCTTGGGGATTGCAAATACTTGGGGGGTATATACCCAGAAGTGAAATTAGTGAATCATATGATAACTCAATTTTTAATTTTTTGAGGAGCCACGATACCGTTTTCCATAGTGGCTGCACCATTTCACATTCCCACCAGCAGTGCGCAAGGGTTCTAATTTTTCCACATCCTGGCCAATTCTTGCTATTTTCTGGTTGTTTTGTTTTGATCGCAGCCATCCTACTGGGTGTGAAGTAGTATTTCATTGTGGTCTTGATTTTCGTTTCCCTAAGGATTAATGATGTTGAGCATCTTTTCGTGTGCTTATTGGCCATCTGTTTATCTTCTTTGGAGAAATGTCTATTCAGGACCTTTGACCATTTCTTAATTTGAGGTGTTTGCTTTTTTCTGTTGTTGAGTTATCTGAGTTCTTTATATATTATGGATATTAATCTCTTATCTGATATATGGTTTGCAAATATTTTCTCACATTTTTGTGGTTGTCTTTTCCCTCTGTTAATAGTGTCCTTGGAGGCACAAATGTTTTTAATTTTGATTAAGTTTAATTTATCCATTTCTTATTTTATTGCCTGTACTTTTGGTGTCATATCCAAGAAATCATTGCCAAATCCAATGTCACAAAGCTTTTCCCTATGTTTTCTCCTAAGAGTTTTATCATTTTAGCTGTTATGTTTAGGGCTTTCATCCACTTTGAATTCATCTTGACACATGGTAGAAGGTAAGGGTCCAACTTCATTCTTGTGCAAGTGGATATCCAATTTTCCCCACACCATTTGTTGAAAAGACTGTCATTTCTCCGTTGAATAGTCTTGGTACCCTTGTCAGAAATCACTGGACATATATGTGAGGGTTTATTTCTGGGCTTTCTAGTCTATTCCATTGGTCTCTATGTTGGTCTTTATGCCAGCACCACACTGTTTTGATTACTGTAGCACTGTAGTAAGTTTCAAAATCAGAAGTGTGAGACCTCTAACTTTGTTCTTTTTCACAATTGCTTTGGCTATTTAGGATCCTTTGAAATTCCATATGAATTTGAGGATGAATTTCTCTATTTCTGCAAAAATTATTAATATCACTGGGATTTTGATACGGATTGCATTGGATGTGTAGATCACTTTGGGTAGTATGGCCATCTTAAAACAATATTAAGTCTTCCAAGCCATGAACACAGGATGTCTTTCCATTTATTTGTGACTTCTTTTTTTTTTTAATCTGGA